AAATCCTACAGCTTTTTTTGTTAGTTTTGTTGTTGTTTTTGTTAGATACTGTATTGTTTATTTTTTTAAATTGCTATTTATTTAATAATTATGCATTAATCTTTTTATTAATTCTTAAAATAAGTTTTAATCAAACGTATTTCAGTTATTACGCTGTTTTTCTTGGAACATTTTCATGGCCCTCAATTTGAAATCCCAGGCTATGTCACAAAATAAAATATCAATTTTACAAATATTCAATAAAGATGTTTATATTCAAATTACGGTGTAATACAGTACAGAATATCGAATACAGACCGGAAGTCTTTGTATAACAGAATATCAAACTAATGGCATTTATTTTACAGAAACAAAGCACAAGTGAGCTTCAAGCAGAAAACTTCTCAAAAGTGATAAAAAACAACTAGTTGTTGAAAATGAAGATAAAATACTTGTGACGGTTTGTGGTTGTGAAGCGCAGGTGTGAACTGCACCTGCGGTTTCTCTGCTAAAACACCTCTTTGAACTTGAGGGAAACTGAGCTCACACTTTAATGTTAAGATGATTAAAAGTAAAACAAATATAATGAAAAAGGTGGGAGAAGGCAAGATGTCTTTGAAAAGTGAAGTTTGTATCAAATGAGCACAGATACAGGGACACTCTTTGGCATTTTGTTATACAAAGACATTCATTTCATGTGTGGCTAAAATGTCTAGGCCTAAATACTATATGGAGATATTTGTGCATTTGACAAAGTAGCTTAAACAAGTTTTCACACCCTCAAGAGAAAATATGACTACGGCATTATCCTGTTGTATAACACTTTCTTACAGGTCCAATGCGATATCTACAAGCTGTTACATAGCAAACTAAGCAGTATTTGAGTTTATTACTAACCTTCTTTAAAGGCAGGGTATGTGATTTTTCAAAAACACTTTAGAAAACTGATTCGGGCCGAATAGCAAGACAAACTTGTAGCCAATCAGCAATAAGGGGCGTGTCTACTCGTGATGTGGGGGAGAGAGCTTTCAGTGCATGGGACGGACATTAGCCGAGCCGAGCGACAGTAAGATAGAGATGGCGGATAAAAAACAAAAGAGGAAAACGTCTGCGGAACGATAAGGCAAGAAGTAGGACCCGTGTAAATATCGGATTAGCTTTCCAGCGCTGGAGAGAACTCAAGGAGCGGAGGCCTGCGATCGGACGTCGAGGTTGCTTTGTTTCTTCTCAATAGGTGAGTAACATCGTGTCTACAACAGCTAAAGTCTGCTACGCTGGACGCGATCAAACGACCGTTGAAAACCATTTGAAATTTGTGTCAGCACGTCATAAATAAAACCCGGCAGCAGTTTCCTTGCCGCGCCGCTCACGTCCGTAGACATGGTGTAACATTGGTTTTGCTTTGTTTCACAGAACTAATCGTTGCCTGGGTAGCGTATGTATGTGCGGGGCGGAGCTATCAAAATAGGGGCAAGACCCTTTTGGGGTAGGGGCGTGTTTGTTTTGGTGATTTCAAATATCAACATTGGCTACCAGAAATCGCTTACTCTGCCTTTAAGTTAGAGTGATTTAAATGGTACTGTACTGATTTACAGTTCCAATAAAATCTGCAGTGAAAAATGCCCAAAACAAATATGGCTTTCAGTATCTGCTTTATTTCATTTGAGCCAGACTTCAAGACTTTGAAGCTGCTTTGTGGAGACATAAGTTAAGCTCACCATCTGTAATATATCATCTTATTATACGGCTCTCTCACATACTTGGGTTTTGATTGGTCAGTCATGGCATTCTGTGGTCAAATAAACCGTATAACTGGCCGTTGGTCCATATAACTGAATGCATCTGAAATAATAAAATAATATTTTGCAATAATGAGAGACTAACTACACAATGTATTTCTGATCGCACCCACAGACACATGAGAGAGAAATCCGTCTAATAAAATGGGCATTTAATGAGCATCTCTTTTTTGAATCTATAGCCAAGTATGGTTTATACGTATTTATGATTAAACAATCCAACCTGGATATTTTGGCATGCACTGAAATATACAGACAGACTGACCGCAGACACAATCACCTCTGTGCCTCACCTCTGACACACAGACAAACTTCCTCTTCCACAATTATTGTCCGACAGCATTATTGTTTCATCAGAAGAGTCATCAGGATTCATAAGGCCTGGGATTTTCAGTCTTTAGTTACATTTAATGCACAATATGTGTCTCGTTGTAAAGATTTATCACACCAAAAGTGCAGGAATGCAAACTTGTCTACCCTTTTTTTAAGGGCAAAAGGTTAAAAAGGCATAAAACGTGATGAGATATGATTCCTCCTTCAATGACTGTACGCACACATTCAAATCCCGATGAGCAATGCTGAGTACAACACTTCTGCATTTCACGATCATATTAATAAACTCAAGACAGTTATAGACTTAAACCGAACAGCAACCAGACATTGCTCCAAACACAAGCCCATTTCCGATCCTGGAAATATAATATAATCAGAAATACAGCCATTTGGAAATGCACAATCACAAATCAGTTATGGCCGATGAACATTTATTCACTATTCATGTGCTTAAACAGAATATAATGCTGCATTATCAGAAATATGCAGTGCTTTCAACCTGCCACATTTATATAAAGTACTGTTGATTTTATTTGCAAAAGATTTCCTAGAGCAAAATATGGCGGGTTTATAATGTCTCTGCATACAAGTTGCTGTGTGCATGATAGTTGCATTGTGATTCTGTACAAAGAATCAACATTTAATTTAATCGTTGTGTTAATACAAATGAGCTTGTGGATTTAAATACAATCTGCAACATCTTAAAAATATTAAGTCAAATGTATGAGAAGAAAAACAAAGAACATCCGGCACACCAGATATCCAGCTGACTATAAACTTCACTATCTGCAACCTGAATCATGCAAAAAAGAGGAAGTCCTGCCGACATAATTTTATTTTGGCCAGTTGAATCATTAGCGGGGCACATGTTGACTAATCAAAAGCTGAACGTGAATCGACTGACCATCATCTGTCTGTCTGTCCATCAGGTTCCCTTTTTTATCCTTGCACTTTAACAGTGGCCAACATGAGATATTTACATTGTGTTTGTGCCAAGAACACGCTGTAAACATTGCCAACAGCAGCAGTGGAGGTGTGTGGATATGAGCCGTGTGTCTCTATATTGAGGTGCTTGTGTGGCGAAACAGAGCTTCACCTGCAGCAGAAGACAGATTTTATTATGCTCATATTACAGTCTGTCTGAGCGTTGAATTATAGTCTGAGCAATGATACGGGTGAACACTGAGCCATGTTATAATATAAGCAATTGTGGAATAGGCTACTAATAATAATTTATTTCAAAAGTTATTTGAAAACATAAAGAAATGTCATGTGACAGGGTTTAACTGTCTTGAGATCATAATGAAATTATATATATATATATATATATATATATATATGTGTGTGTGTATTGCTATAATTAATTTAAGTTAGTTCTTATAAGCAGTGCTTAATTTAAAAAACATGAGTTTAAATGCTCATTTGAACAGCAGTCAGTTTTTGACTGCTTTCGCAAACAGTTACTACACTGAAAGAGGGTTTTAGCCATACCTTACGTATGTTTTCATCGAAAATATTACAACTTTGCAAACAGAGCAGAGGCCATTTTATAAGAAACGGACTGTTCGTTATATATGAACGTACGTAAATGCTTAAAATGTACGTTGGAAACCCAACTGAAGTCCTGAAAGATACAAAACAGTTCCCGTAACATACCGACAGCTTCGCTCCTCTCTCTCTTTCTGCCAGATCGACCGGGAAAACGTTCTTTGGTGAAACACTGCTCTGCTGTTTCCATGGAGGCAGAACAACAGATCGATTTTATTGCCAAATATGGGCACGGAAGTACAACCAAAAGAAAAAAAATGCGTGCGTGCAAATACGCAGTGACGTCAGGCGCTTTACGTTGCGTGCCAGGCTTAGAGAGAACGTTCCGACCGTGACAACAGCCTCGGTATTGACGAATCGTCGTGGGTGAATGCCGTTTCACAGATACCTTAGAAATAGATGGATCGCGAAATTCATGGAATGATAATAGACGTGGGTGAATGTTTATTTTTAATCGAAACGATGCATTAATTTTCGTGCTGGCAAATAAAAGAAACCCAAGTGCTTAAAAGAGAAGCTTTACATTTCTACCTTTTTCATGGCTCACTTGTAAATAAATAAATAAATTCACACATTTCCTAATTTTGATATTTATTCTTTGTTTATTACAAACATGCCAGACCATTGAAAAGGAAGCAGGAAGAACAAAAAATGCATAATGAATTTTTTTTTTTTTGCCACCATGGTCAGATTTTTTTTTTGGACAATACCATAAAACAGTTAGTCACACACTAAAGACACGGTGTAACAGACTGCACTGTACATCACTACACCAACTGATACACGTACCTACATAGTACAAAAGTGCATAAAAGCATGTCTTTCACAGGATGAACAACATATTCAACAATGTCAACATCTGGAAGAAACAAACAATGACTATAGTGACTGGATGTAAGGGTCACATTACATCTACTGCACAGCATTCACTATATTTTGTAAATGTTGAACATGTCAGACTCATTTATGAAAGCATTTTTATGAGGGTTTTTCGGTTCATCAATAATATTTCACAGCTCACCCTTCTTTCTCAGATTATTTCACTCTTAAAAATAAAGGTTCATTATTGGCATTTATGGTTCCATGAAGAACCTTTGGCATCCATGAAACCTTTCCACTGCACAAAAAGTTCTTATTGTGGGGAAAAAAAGAATCTTTGAAATATTCAAATGTTCTAATTTTAAAAAATAAAATAAATTAAGAACTGTTAATTGAAAGGTTCTTTTGGGAACCCAAAAGGGTGTTTTCACACCAGTGCCATAGAAGAACCATTCAGCAAACAACACTTAAAAATAAAGGTTCATTATTGGCATCAATGGTTCCAATGGTCCAGGGGGGGTGGGGGGGGAGGGGTCACTGTGGAAACTCCATTTTGGAACCTTTATTCATAAGAATGATGTGCCAGAAGCTTCATAAAGTCGTCGAGATTTCTTTGGCTGCATTAGATTTGCCCTCTTTCCCACTGTCATGCTTCTCCACATCTGCATTGTTGAAGCTGAAGACGGGCACGGCGTTGGTGCTGCTACAGGTGGGGCTGCATGTAGGCGAGCTGAGAGCTTCCAACCCGCCACCCATTGACATGTACAGGGTTTCCCATTCGCTCAGACCCAGAGAGCTAGTGAGGTCAATATCTGGCACTAACAGATCCATGTCATCACTGCTGTCAATCACCTCGCTAAAATCTTCCATGGACACATCTCGCATATCGATGTACGGTTCCACTTCAGCGGCGCCCAGTTCGGCACTGGAGCACAGAAGGATGTCGGAGTCGCCAAAGATCGCAGTGCTGGTGGGGTCGGCCTGCTGAGGGGAGGTGGGCACCTGTTCTGGGGAGGTGCTGCGAGCTTGAATCTGCTCCTTCTGGGCTTGGGTTTGTTCCTCACTCTCTGCCACCGTCTCCTCTGTGAGTTTACAATGGGGCTTGTGAGCAGAGAGGATGAGTTCGAGTCGTTCTTTCTCCTTTAACAGATTGGCGATCTCAGACAGTAGAGCTGCTTTGTCCTCCTCGAGACTATCGGTTTCCTATACACATGCAGATTATAATCATGTCATGCACAAAGTTATCTTTTTTGAAGAAGGCTATTGCAGAATATAGCGGTTTGTAAACTTACAGCTTGGAGGCTGTTGGTTAGCTCTTGTCTGCGATTTCGACACTTGGCGGCTGCGAGTTTATTCCTTTCTCTTCTGATCCTCTTTCTCTCCTCTTCCTCTGGAGAAAGCTGAAATAAAAAACACATGCACATTCATATATATTTTGGAATAATCAAGATTTTTTAATGTTTTTTAACAAAGTCTTCTTCTGCTCACCAAGGCACCATTCATTTGATTAAAAATAAAATAAAAACCGTGATACTGTGAAATATCACAATTTAAAAATAACAGTTTTCTATTTTTAATGCCTTTCATATTAATATATATATATTTGATATATTTTGATATTTGGTTTGATTCCCAGGAAAAAAATAGTAGTTTTTATAAATCAAAATTTAAATTTAATTAGTATCAATGGAATGCGGTTGAGTTTGATTAAAAGCCATATGCATATTGTAAAGTAGCAATAGCAATATGTGTTTTCTTAATGGCTAATACCTGCATATATCTGTGGTTAATACATAATTGAGTGACAACAAATGTACACAAAATTAAGACATGCATGCATAGACCAGTTTTAGACTAGTTTTACTTAAAATTATATTCTTAAAAATAATGAGGATGTTTACAGAAGAATCATTTTAGGTTCCCCAAAGACCCCAAAGGTTCTTAAAAGAACCATAAAATAACATTTTAATAATCTGAAGAACCTTTTTTCCACTATAAAGAACCTTTTGTGCAACTGAAATGTTGGATGTTAAAGGTTCTTAATGGAACCTTAGTAGATCATTGATGTAAATATCATGTGTAAATATCATTATATGTAAATATCATGTGTATCATATGTTTTCTACAGTCAGATGAATGTGGATTTCTTCAGAAAAGCATTTAAACAAAAATAAAATTTATGTGCTGAGCATATATATATATATATATGATATAGGTATTTACCTGATGTTTCACCCCCTTCCTCCGGCCAGTGAAGGTTTTTCGAGCCGGTTTGGCATCTGTGGAGGGAGATGAGCTCTGTGATTTCTCGTGTCTGCAGGGCGACACTGAAGAGATGTCAGTCAACAGGACCATCCACTTGAGATCTGGAGCTGAAGCTACAGCAGTGACCGTTGGAACAAAGGGAGCATCAGCATCCTTCAGAATACCTGTCTTCTGAGAACAAGCACGCAAATGTGTTCATCATATATGGTCCATGACAACTTACATCAATCATTTGTTTGTATTAAAAAAATGAAATCATCACATACACATAAATCATTAATCACAGCTCTTTTAAATAGTACATTTAGGTTACATTCCAGGTAAACATGCAATTGATTATACCTGCGTATCCTTCATCTCAGAAGCTGATGTGAGCAGCAGCTGTTCTTCAGACACCTGCGAAACACTCGCGATTTTAGGCATCACTTCTGCTAGATCGCTCCAGGAGATGCTGGGAACCAGATTAATATGTGACTAATGTCACCAAATGCTATTCTTCAGGGTTATTTTTTATTTATTTTAAAATCTAGATTGAGGTTACTACGCTAGGAGGCACCAGCCATCAACGCTGCTTCTCTTTATAGCGAGGCAGATTTTTATGAATGAAATCTGTGAGACTGTACCACTGATCCGGAGGGGAGACAGTTAAGCACGAGCCAAATATATATACGGCATTTCACAGATATGCCTGACTCAAAACAATTCTCGCTTTGATTCAACATTGTAGGCATCCAAATAAAGCGTCCGATGCGGTTATTTAGTTAAATTACAACGCTGCAGCTTTCACATGAATGAACAAGATACGTAATTTTACGTGCCTTGTTTGCAGCCTCTCTTTTGCATTCCTGCGTGAGGTTGCGATTTATTAATATTATAGAGATTTATATCTCTCTATATAAGATGGTTCATCTGCAAGCGCGTGATTGTCTCACTAGGCATATAAATGAAAGAAATAAACAACAAAAATACACACTGCATTTGACATCATCAGTGTAAGAAAGTGTTATTCAACGAGTATGCCAAATGATAAGAGAGAATTAAACAATGAAATAATTGTTGTGATATTTCAACCGCGCCCTTTCTATTAAAAACTGATTTTTCGTATCCCTTGTCAATTACAATGATGGATCTCCCACTCAGAGCGCTCCAGCAACAACCCTGTCGCTAATGTGAGCAGCCAATCAGAGAGCTGCGTGTCTTGACCATATATGGCACATCCGGTGTTTTCTGCAGCGCTACTGCGGCACAGCCTATTTTTTATCATATCACACTTAATTCAGTGACATTCTTATGACGACATCTTCGCCAAGTAGCCAAAATTATCTAAGTATGTGTTTTAAGCTTTTTTTATAATAAAGTTGTCCATTTCACAACTGTCTGCTGGTAGACATTATTCTGTCTATCATGTTAAGGATTTGCACAAAAACCCAAAGGCTTTATGCGTTAATTCTCACTCGGACTGGTAGAAAACGCCGTTGTTCTTCTCCATAACCTGTGTGAAAATCTCTATTCATAGCTCAGATGAGGTAATCCTGCTTTCACACGAGGGCGTGTGAGTGGGGCCTCCCTTCTGTCCACAGTCCAAGTGTTTCCCGGCAGATCCGCCTCTGGTTTCTGATCTGTGATTCTCATAAAGGGAAAAGGGCCGTATGCAGGGTCATTCCGCAAAACCAACACGTATTACCAAAATAAAATGATTTTAATAAAATTAAAAATATTTGTAAATTATTATTTAATCAAATTATTATTTTAAAAAATATTGTCTATATTTGAAAAATTGATATAAATTATATTTTTATATATTTTTTTTTGTTCTTTCTCCACGAGGAAGCCATTATTGGCCTGTTCTTCTTCATACCTAAAAACATGATGTCACAGTGACATTATCATCTTTTCAGGATATGAATTCCTCAAGGGTATTTGCATGTTTTCTTTTTTTAGCACATCTATTATTACACATGTTAGGTTTGTCACAAGGTGATCAAAAATAATCACAGGTTTCGGTTACCATGATTTTGCACAGTGAACAATTGATTATTAATAACTGGATAAGTGTAAAGATTAAATTCTATTTTTAAAAACGCACTGTGGTCTCATGACCATGAGCACAAGGCCAGCATTGGCTAAATAAATTATAAAACTGTCAGCCTGCTTAAAGGCATGATTATAGCCTATCCCAGCATTTTAAATATTCAGCTGAGATTGACTGTACAATGTAATTTCTTTTTAACACTATTATTCTTTTCTGACAGAATGTTTAAAATTCTGCTTTAAAAAAAAAATCACATTTTCAAAATGGAAAAGGTCTCTGTGCAATGACCTAGGAGCAGTTGCAGTAAACAGTTATTGTCAGTAACTAATAGCTAAGTCCAGTATCTCAGACACATTTTCCTGTTCAATTTAAAAAAAAGGGATGACAGTGACATTTCTAATGAAATAAAGGTTGCTATTTTTTGTTTTAGTTTTTAAAGTACTTTAGAGTAGACACAATCATTGCATTGTTATTTACCGTCAATAGTGAGAACAGACTTTCGTCAGTGAAAGGCGAAACTTCAGAGTTCATTTGCAGAGGCTCGGGTTGCAGTGACGTCAGTGGGAGGGGCGTCGCTTAGACAACGCGGAAGATCAAACAAAACACGAACACAGAAGTAGAGCAGTAAAATATGACATCACATGGGAACGCTGATAGAGCTGTTTTCGTTTGTTAATCAATAACAAAACTACCTGCTTCTGTCATGTTTACCCGTAGCTAATGGCGGAAAGTGAATGTCCAAAATATATCCAAACAGACATTGTGCGGCCCAGTTGCTAAAATAAATAAATACAAATATGACTAAATATATATATTTAAAAAAATAATACCCCCCCACCTCTCTCTATATATAGCTATACAGACACACACACACACACACACCAACAGACACACGTGTTAATTAATATTTTATTGATATAGGCCTAAAATATTTACATAGCCTAGAATTTGAAACATTTAGAAATCTTAAATCATGTGATTATTTGTTTGGTCCAGTGACGCGATACTCACAGCTAAGAAACCAACTCAGCGTTTTATTACAAAGGAATCCCTCATTAAACGCGTGAAGGCAGCTCAGACTGTATTACTGCGTGTTTGTATGTTACTCTTCCGACACGCCTTTTATTGCGCAAAGGCACGAGCACAGCCCGAGGCCATCCATGTTCTGTGCTTCGCAGAAAGTATGAAATCTAAGAACATGAAGTGTGCTAGGTAAACATAGCTTGAACGTGAGCTGTAACTAAAAGTCATTTGAAGTTTGGATTAAGTGGTTTTGCATTACATTATATGAGTTTAATGTAATTACACTAACTGCATTTATACAATGTAATAATACGGTAATGCTAAAACTGCATAATTGACTATTGCTGTAAATATAGTAGTTTATAAGTTGTTTATGAAAACAATGAAGCCTTCTCGAAGTATCTTTGCATAATGCTTTACACTGCACAGAGTGTTTCCCATCAGCACTCCGCCTCTTCAGACCAACAGACACACGTGTTAATTAATATTTTATTGATATAGGCCTAAAATATTTACATAGCCTAGAATTTGAAACATTTAGAAATCTTAAATCATGTGATTATTTGTTTGGTCCAGTGACGCGATACTCACAGCTAAGAAACCAACTCAGCGTTTTATTACAAAGGAATCCCTCATTAAACGCGTGAAGGCAGCTCAGACTGTATTACTGCGTGTTTGTATGTTACTCTTCCGACACGCCTTTTATTGCGCAAAGGCACGAGCACAGCCCGAGGCCATCCATGTTCTGTGCTTCGCAGAAAGTATGAAATCTAAGAACATTAAGTGTCAGGTAAACATAGCTTGAACTTGAACTGTAATTAAAAAGCATTTGAAGTTTGAATTAAATAGTTTTGCATTAAAATTATACGAATTTAATGTAATTACACTAACTGCATTTATACAATGTAATAATACGGTAATGCTAAAACTGCATAATTGACTATTGCTGTAAATATAGTAGTTTATAAGTTGTTTATGAAAACAATGAAGTATTCTCGAAGTATCTGTACTTAATGCTTTACACTGCACAGAGTGTTTCCCATCAGCACTCCGCCTCTTCAGGATGTTTTCCATATAAGGTAAATGACGTCGTGGGATACCCTGCTATGGAACGTCATGTATTCCACTCCGTTTTCATTCAGAATATTAATCTACGAACGTTTTTACAAACATTTTGTTATGTACTAAGCTTAAAAGTTTGCATTAGATGTGCATTGGTTATGTATCCAGCAAAATGCGTTCCTGACGACGTGTTTTCGGAGGTTTCTATGCAAACACTGGCAGCGAGTCGCCCCGCCCTCCCTTTGACGTAAGTCAACAGACTCCTATATAAGCTCCGCGAGCGCTGTGGCTCAGCAGTCAAACTTTGGATACCGACAGAAAGAACAACAGCAGACGAGCAGGAAACTAGCACACCGAGGCGTTTGAAACCTTTCTAACTTTCTGGATATATTAGCGCTGGATAGCTCTTGCTTCTCGACTGTGAACAGGATGATGTTTACCAGCCTTAACGCCGACTGTGACGCGTCTTCCCGGTGCAGCTCGGCGTCGCTGAGCGGCGAGAGCGTCGCGTATTACCCGCTCAACCAGACTCAGGTATTTAAGACAATTATTAGTATTAATTTAAAATGATTTAACATTTAAAATGAATTATTTTGTAGTTTATTTATTGTAGCTTAAGTGTTCAAATTATATTATGAGTAGCCTAGTAATAATTTAAATGTGTAATGCATAGGTTAATAATAAGTAATAAACATTATAATTTATTCATAAGTAACATATAAAATATATTTTAATAATCTACAATATCTGGCATATATTAAATGATTTCTTATGTGCATTTCAGGAGTTCACTGACCTGAGTGTCTCAAGTGCCTCTTTCGTGCCAACCGTCACCGCGATCTCCTCGTGCCCAGACCTGCAGTGGATGGTTCAGCCCATGATTTCATCCGTGGCGCCCTCCAACGGCGGAGCTCGAGCTTACAACCCAAACCCTTACCCTAAAATGAGGGTCACTGGAACCAAGTCCCCAAACTCCAACAAGCGAGCCAGAGTTGAGCAGGTAAACAATGCACTGAGATTGTTTTTAACGATTGATCATCCAGTGCACCTACTGTATCCGTTTATTAGTTTACACAGTTCAGAAAGTAAAATCTCCACGTTATCGCTTCCACAGCTTTCTCCAGAGGAGGAAGAGAAGAAAAAAGTCCGTCGTGAACGGAATAAGTTGGCTGCCGCAAAATGCCGCAACCGAAGGCAAGAGCTCACCGATACGCTGCAAGCTGTAAGTATATCGCAGATCTTTGAGAAGACGCTTCGTATAGCATACTATGTAAGTTAATGTTTAGTGTCTATCAATCTAACAACATTTGTTTTTCTAAAACAGGAAACCGACGAACTTGAGGACGAGAAATCCGCTCTTCAAAACGACATCGCCAACCTGCTCAAAGAGAAAGAGAGGCTAGAGTTCATCCTCGCCGCACACAAACCCATCTGCAAGATCTCTTCCAGCTCCGTCTCCCCCATCCCCTCCGCTTCGGTTCCTGAGATCCACAGCGTCACTACCTCAGTGGTCTCCACCGCAAACGCACCGGTTACGACTTCTTCCAGCAGCTCGCTGTTCTCCAGCACGGCCTCCACCGACAGCTTCAGCTCCACGGTGAATATCTCAGACCTGGAGCCCACCCTGGAGGAGTCTCTGCAGCTCTTGGCCAAAGCCGAGCTGGAAGCGGCTCGCTCGGTCCCCGACGTGGACCTGTCTAGCTCTCTGTATGCTCAAGACTGGGAGCCGCTCTACACGCCCGCTAACGACCTGGAGCCCCTTTGCACGCCCGTCGTCACCTGCACCCCGGCCTGCACCACCTATACGTCTTCCTTTATGTTCACCTACCCAGAAAACGACGTCTTCCCCAGCTGTGGGCCTGTGCACCGGCGGGGCAGCAGCAGCAACGACCAGTCATCAGACTCCTTGAACTCCCCAACCCTCCTCACTCTTTGAGAATTCATTAGAGACACTTAGAATTTCTATTTCTGACACACAACTTGATATAATATGGTATTGCAGGGCTATGGAACTGACTCTATCAAGCAATCGTTATTGCTTCCTATATTTATCTGAACCATACATGCCTGCCAAATGTAGCAAGATAAGCATGGATTAACTGATTTTGCATTAATGATCTAGCTGTTAAGTTAAACTAAAAATAGTTTTGTGTTTTTTTTTTTTTAGTTTGCTTGGTGCTAGATTTGAATTGTTGTATTAGTGTGTTCTGAGCAATAGAGAACTGCTATGTTTTGCCTTTACGGTTGATTTCTGAATGTGTGAATTTTATTTACTCAAATGTGTGCTGCCTAACCATTGCTTGGTTAACGTCCAAGTATGAAGTTTTCTGTGAAAACGTAGTCTGTTTAATTTATGGGATTTTTATTTTTGTACTGAAATGTGAACTTGCGAATTGTTTGCAAAACTAGAAACAATAAATATTAAATGTACCTAAAATGATTTGTTTGTGTTGACGTGAGCTCACCGTGTGTTGCGTTATTAGCAAGATTTATTGATGGGACTTAACATGTCTCGAGTACATTATTATTCAAAAGTATCATTCATTATCTTTTTTTAATGAAGTTTTAGTAAGCAAGGATGCATGAAGTGACGCTAAAGACATTTATAACTTATAAATATATTTTAGATAGTAATAATATATCATAATTGTACAGTT